TAGATAATAGATTCCACTTCCCCCAATCAGTCCTCTGGGGAACTCATCAGTGCCAGAGTGATCAGAGTGCTCACTCCCAGAACTCAATAGGTGATCTATCTCCCAGCACTTGTCACATTGTGGCCCGTTGTGAGTCTAGCCCTGTGACACAGCTGAACTCCTCTGATTACATCCAATACAGGCCAGCTGGCCCCATCAGACTCAGTTAATTTATGGCTATATTTGGGAGAGTTAGATTTCTATTGGTGAATGTCATTAAGCACTGATTTCACTGTACACACACAAACCAACATAAATATACTTCCATTGATAATCATTGAAATTTACAGATAGACAGAATAAGAAAAATGCTGTTTGAGAACTTATTAGATTTAAAATCCAGAGATGCAGACTAGCGAATGAATAGTAAAAACAGGTCTGATTTCTTGATTGATGGATATTTACTTTGTATATTTTGACATGCGATGTTGACAATTTGTGTTTTAGTGGTTTATAAAGCTTCAGCTTTTTGAATCTCAGCATCCACTGCCAGTAAATAATTGTCTGAACCCCCCATAATTTCACTCAAATATAAAAATTTTAATTGCTAAAAATCTTTAGAAAGTCTAAAAATAAATGTCACTATTATCCGTTGAAATTATATTAAAAAAATTCTGCTAAGTCTATTTACAGGAAAGATTTAGAATTTTACGCACAACTCCGTGGGCTCCTGTCACTTTCTGGAGTGCAATACAGAACAGTGAGGGGTTGTTTCACTGCCTTCCCTGAGCATCCCACAGTGCTTTGCTGTTGTAGCTCCCAACCTGGGTTGCTTGCAACTAATCTACCAGCATGCAGGTCACACCCTAAGTGTCTGTGTGCTGGACAGGCCTGGAGCAGCAGTTCTGATCTCAGCAGCCTGTCTACAGCCCCACTCCAGCTTCCACCAGCATTTGTTACACTCAGCAGGGTGACCCCAACACACTCCCCATCACAAATTTCCCCCCAAACTGTGTGTTCTGCAATTTCCAGTCCTCTTCTGGGCAGTTCAGAGAAATAATATGATTCATTTGCTCTTTTAAGGAGACGGAACACACCAATTTCCCACATTAAGTGGAATTGACATCCC